CGCGCTTTCCTTTTAGGTCCTACCGATCCAACGACGACACAGCTCTCGTGAGATCGCCTGGATGTGAGCAGAGCAATATATGTAGACTTGCAGATGCTGGTAGACAAACTCGAACGGCATCGTGCAGACAGGTAGCCAGCCAACAATGCCCGAAAGAAAGAGGTTGGTCAGACAAGTAAGCATGGCTGATTAGTAGGTGAACATGCTGAAGATGGCCCACTAATCAGCACGTTTCATTAGGCAAGACACATGTGTACATATGTGGAATGACGCAGTGCCAATCAATACCATCCATTATCCAAGCTGTCAAGAGAAAAAACGTCCATTATCCAAGATAGCAAGATCGCGATTTCATCCGCAAGTCAATGCAGAGGATATTAATCATTTGTGTTCAGCAAGTTGGAGCAAGAGCAAGAATAATGGTGCCTCTAACACCTAATTAAATTCTAACTGAAGATACGAGCACATCATGTTTATATTCTACTGTATTTATCGGCACAGATACATCTAAGGTTGGAGCTTCAAGTGGTGGAGGCCGAGGTGCGCACGGGAAGCAGCGGTGCCGGCCGCGACGGGCACAAGCAGCAGCCGCGCCGGCCGTGCGTGGGCGAGAGCACCAGCTAGCCGCGGAGGTAGAGCTCGTGGATGTCCGCGTGGCCGCGCATGTCGATGCGGCGCCAGAGCGCGGGCACGTCGCGCGCGGCGCGGCACCAGGAGCGGCGCACCTGCCCCACGCCGGTCAGGATCTCGATGTGGTCGAGCTTGTGGAGGATGGCGCAGAGCACGTCCAGCAGGAGCCTCGCCCAGTCCCTCGCCTCCTCCGCCGCAGGCGCTAGTGCTGGCCCCTTGCGGCCGCGTCGTCCACGGGAGTCGAGAGCCACGAGACTAGGCTGTGGAAATGAAAATGGACCATGCTTGAGCCATGCTCCAGGTGAGCTGCGCGTAGCCGCCGCCGCCGCTGAAAATGGCCCATGCGTGAGCCATGCTCCAGGTGAGCTGCGCGTAGCTGCCGCCGGCGAGCGTGTGCGCCGTCGTGCGTGAGTGAGCGCCGGCCGTGGTCGGCGGTGGAGGTGGCTTGCAGGTGCACACGAGGTGTTTGTAGAAATGCCAAAGAGAAAGAGAGAGGAGGAAGAAGAGGGTCAGCCTGACTTGTGGGCCCATCCTATTAGAAAGACGTTTAAAAGAGGTGAATCAGGCATTTTCGCGATGTGGTAGTTTTTAGTCAAAGATTAGAAAAAAAGTGGTAGTTTTTGGCACAAATATGTAAAGTGGTAGTTTCTAGACACATTTACATGAATTGTGGTAGTTTTTGGTTAAATACTCCGTGCGCTACCACTCCCGCCTCCTTCCGGCGCGCCGTCATCCCCGCCTCCTACCGGCGCGCCGCCGGACCCTCCTTCCCTGGAGCGCCGCCACCCCGCTGCCCTCGCCATCTTCCCGAGCGCGCCGCTGCCGCCGTCTTCCCCAGAGCGTCACCGCCCCGCCACCCCCGCCCACGGGACCAGTGGTCCCATCGCCGGTCTCCCCCCACCCAGATTTGCCGGAGGCGCACCGGATCCTGCCTCATGGCCGGTTCCCGCGACTCGGCCGCCGCCCCAACCGCTGCAGCAGCCGACCACCTCCACTAGGTGCCCCGGCGGTTCGGACCCCCACCTGGCCCCTCCCTCGAACCCAGCGAGCCTCCGCCCCGACCTACTTCCCGCGCGAGGTCGCCTCCGCCTCCTCCTGGCGCACCGCCGCCCCCACCATCTCCACCTCCGCCTCCGCCGATGCCTCCTTCTCCACCTCCGTTCGCAAGCGATGGCGGCCGCGGTCTTCAGCCCCAGCCACCATGGCTGCAGATCCACCCACGGCCGGTCGTCTAAGCTTCAAGCATGGATGGATGGATTCAGGAAGGTATCCTTCCTCCCTGGGTGGAGCGAGCTGCAGATCCCGTCCGGCCCTCCGGAACCGGCCATCTCCGCCTCCTCCTCGCCGCCGCCGCTGGGGATCACGTCTTCACCAAACGCGAGCTCCGCCCCATCCGACCGACCGCAAAGGGGTGAGTTTTCTTCATCCCGAACCCTCCTGATTTGCTTACTGCACTGTGAGAACTCAAGCTTTTCTTCTTCAGAGATAGGACATGGCGGAAACAAAACTGCACGACGATGTGCATTTCTGCAACACATCAGGTCTACATTTTCCATTGCCCTGGACTTATGAGTAAGTAGCATACAGAGTTCAGTCTGATTCTAAAGAACAAGAGTAGAAAATATATTCTGCCGAGTAGAAAATATCTTCAGGTCTACATTTTCCATTGCCCTGGACTTATGGCTATCTGATTGTAAAGAACAAGAGTAGAAAATATAGACATGCGTCTTCACGTGTGTGCATTAAATTTGTTTTGATTCTGTTAATATATTTTTGTTGCAGACGGAAGAAAAAGCAGTGAGGAGAGGTGTTGATATCCTTTGCGTCCAAGAAACCAAATGGAGAGGACAGAAGGCGAAGGAGGTGGAGGATACCGACTTCAAGCTGTGGTACACGGGGACGGCTGCAAACAGAAATGGCGTAGGCATCTTGATCAACAAGAGCCTCAAGTATGGAGTGGTAGACGTCAGGAGACGTGGGGACCGGATTATCCTGGTCAAGCTGGTAGCTGAGGACTTGGTTCTCAATGTTATCAGCGCATATGCCCCGCAAGTAGGCCACAATGAGAACACCAAGAGGGAGTTCTGGGAAGGCTTGGAAGACATGGTTAGGAGTGTACCGATTGGTGAGAAGCTCTTCATAGGAGGAGACCTCAATGGCCACGTGGGTACATCTAACACAGGTTTTGAAGGGGCGCATGGGGGCTTTGGCTATGGCATCAGGAATCAAGAAGGAGAAGATGTCTTAAGCTTTGCTCTAGCCTACAACATGATTGTAGCTAACACCCTCTTTAGAAAGAGAGAATCACATCTGGTGACTTTTAGTAGTGGCCAACACTCTAGCCAGATTGATTTCATCCTCTCGAGAAGAGAAGATAGGCGTGCGTGCCTAGACTGTAAGGTGATACCCGGGGAGAGTGTTGTACCCCAGCATAAGCTGGTGGTTGCTGACTTCCGCTTTCGGATTCGTGTCCAGCGGGATAAGCGTGCCAAGGTCGCTAGAACGAAGTGGTGGAAGCTCAAGGGGGAGGTAGCTCAGGTGTTCAAGGAGAGGGTATTTAAGGAGGGCCCTTGGGAGGAAGGAGGGGATGCGGACAATGTGTGGATGAAGATGGCGACTTGCATTCGTAAGGTGGCCTCGGAGGAGTTTGGAGTGTCCAGGGGAAGGAGAAGCGAAGATAAGGATACCTGGTGGTGGAATGATGATGTCCAGAAGGCGCTTAAAGAGAAGAAAGATTGCTTCAGACGCCTATACCTGGATAGGAGTGCAGACAACATAGAGAAGTACAAGATGGCGAAGAAGGCCGCAAAGCGAGCTGTTGGTGAAGCAAGGGGTCGGGCATATGAGGACCTTTACCAACGGTTAGGCACGAAGGAAGGTGAAAGGGACATCTATAAGATGGCTAAGATCCGGGAGAGGAAGACGAGGGATATTGGCCAAGTCAAATGCATCAAGGACGGAGCAGGCCAACTCTTGGTGAAGGACGAAGAGATTAAGCATAGATGGCGGGAGTACTTCGACAAGCTGTTCAATGGGGAGAATGAGAGTTCTACCATTGAACTGAATGACTCCTTTGATGAGACCAGCATGCGTTTTGTGCGGCGCATCCAGGAGTCTGAGGTGAAGGAGGCTTTAAAAAGGATGAAAGGAGGCAAGGCGATGGGCCCTGATTGTATCCCCATTGAGGTGTGGAAAGGTCTCGGGGACATAGCGATAGTATGGCTAACCAAGCTTTTCAACCTCATTTTTCGGGCAAACAAGATGCCAGAAGAATGGAGACGGAGTATATTAGTACCAATCTTCAAGAACAAGGGGGATGTTCAGAGTTGTACTAATTACCGTGGAATTAAGCTAATGAGCCATACAATGAAGCTATGGGAGAGAGTCATTGAGCACCGCTTAAGAAGAATGACAAGCGTGACCAAAAATCAGTTTGGTTTCATGCCTGGGAGGTCGACCATGGAAGCCATTTTCTTGGTACGACAACTTATGAAGAGATATAGGGAGCATAAGAAGGACTTGCATATGGTGTTCATTGACTTGGAGAAGGCCTATGATAAGATACCGCGGAATGTCATGTGGTGGGCCTTGGAGAAACACAAAGTCCCAGCAAAGTACATTACCCTCATCAAGGACATGTACAATAATGTTGTGACAAGTGTTCGAACAAGTGATGTCGACACCGATGACTTCCCGATTAAGATAGGACTGCATCAGGGGTCAGCTTTGAGCCCTTATCTTTTTGCATTGGTGATGGATGAGGTCACAAGGGGTATACAAGGAGATATCCCATGATGTATGCTCTTTGCGGATGATGTGGTGCTAGTTGACGATAGTCGGACGGGGGTAAATAGGAAGTTAGAGTTATGGAGACAAACCTTGGAATCGAAAGGGTTTAGGCTTAGTAGAACTAAAACCGAGTACATGATGTGCGGTTTCAGTACTACTAGCTGTGAGGAGGAGGAGGTTAGCCTTGATGGCCAGGTGGTACCTCGGAAGGACACCTTTCGGTATTTGGGGTCAATGTTGCAGGAGGATGGGGGTATTGATGAAGATGTGAACCATCGAATCAAAGCCGGATGGATGAAGTGGCGCCAAGCTTCTGGCATTCTCTGTGACAAGAGAGTGCCACAAAAGCTAAAAGGCAAGTTCTACAAGACGGCGGTTCGACCCGCAATGTTGTATGGCGCGGAGTGTTGGCCGACTAAAAGGCGACATGTTCAACAGTTAGGTGTGGCGGAGATGCGTATGTTGAGATGGATGTGTGGCCACACGAGGAAGGATCGAGTCCGGAATGATGATATACGAGATAGAGTTGGGGTAGCACCAATTGAGGAGAAGCTTGTCCAACATCGTTTGAGATGGTTTGGGCATATTCAGCGCAGGCCTCCAGAAGCTCCAGTGCATAGCGGACGGCTAAAGCGTGCGGAGAATGTCAAGAGAGGGCGGGGTCGACCGATTTTGACATGGGAGGAGTCCGTTAAGAGAGACCTGAAGGATTGGAGTATCGACAAAGAGCTAGCTATGGACAGGGGTGCGTGGAAGCTTGCTATCCATGTGCCAGAGCCATGAGTTGGTTGCGAGATCTTATGGGTTTCACCTCTAGCCTACCCCAACTTGTTTGGGACTAAAGGCTTTGTTGTTGTTTGTTGTTTTTTACGGAAGAAAAAGCAACATGAAGTTCCTGTCTGCATCAAACTGCTTTCACTTATATTCTGCTGAATTTCTTCCTTCTATGGGACTGTACATGGGGATTATCTACAAGGGTTATGTCCTTTGCAGGTAGATTATCTTATAGGACGGGCGAAATGCAACAGAAGAAGCTCCTCCGCTGCTACTCGCCAAACTCCAAGCAAAAAGGACCTTCCACTTTCCTTGCTAATGGTGAGCAACTCAAAGATGTCTAAAAGGTTACGCTTAATATTTACCCTCCGTATCTTATTTACTTGACCATTACATGTATAGATGCTTTCAGAGAACATGTATATATAGCTGCAGATCTGTTATATCTGAACAATGGCAGATTTGACCATTACATGTATATACCTGCTAGGAGAGAACATGTATATCTATCAGTTGTTTTTGATCATTAAGATATTACTTTCTCATCTTATTTCTAGGTATAAACACTGGTGCTGTTTTGTTTAATTTCGAAACATGCAGATTATCGTGTCTTCATCCCTGCGAAGTGACATTCTTTCCCAGTAATCTGTGCATGTGAAAATTATTTTCAAATGCGATTCTACTTGGTAGTTTTCATATTTCCAATGGCCCGTCAAGTGTGCATTTTCACGAGCTTCAGCAAACCCTTTTTCAGTCATCTGGTCCATGTACATACCAAGTGCTTGTTGAAATAAAAATGCAATTGGCCGCCAATTTTATCTTGCGTGTATCACTGGTTAATTTTTTATAGTTAGTTTTATGTCTATATATTGTCAATATATCGAAAGTTTGGTCCTCTGAGTAAGCACTCGGTTCCTTGTTAGGTCTGGCTAGATCGATATTTAAGGGATCATTTTTAGTCCCAGTTTTCCACCTTGCATTAAAAGAATGCCTTTGTATCAATTACATGCTCTTTGTCTAGACTAACACTCAGATGGCTGAAACTCGAAGTTTCAGTATCAATATAGTAAAATTCTCCCAAATAGATAAGTATCAGTTCACTTTTGGGTATTCATATTTTCTTTGTGTTTTAAATCTTCAATTATTCATCAATTTTAGTGCTACATATTCCTATTTGGATTATACTTGGTGCATCAAATTAATGAATCAGGAAACTCTTTTTTTGTTGTTTGGGCAGGGGCCTCAGTTTGTTCGGAATCAGATACAACCATATGATCCATTATTGTTCGTGGGCATCATATTTAAAAAAAATATATTTTTTGGATTTTGTAAAGTTTGCGGTTAATAAGCCGGTGAGAGCTGATGGTTCAGTTAGATCCTGCATTTACTTGACCTCTTTCTCTGTCAGGTAAATTACCATGGTACTTATCTAATGCGATTTGTAAAGTTTTACCAATCTGGTGAGCATATGAGACTGCAATATTGTGTTCACTCTCAGGATTAAACTGCTTGCTGTGTAATTCACCTCTTATTATTTCCATGAAATAACAGTAGTTTTCTTGTCTAACTTCATTTGATTTTGTATGCAGGAGGATATTCAATACCAAGATTTATGATTTGGCATAAGTGAGATGACATACAAGTGAGTTTAATTCGTGAGAGTGAAATAGCAACAGTTTAATTATCATACCGCCGGCAGCTGCACCTCAACTGCGGAAAAAGAAATCTTGAAGAACCAAGACCACCACCAGCTGGAAGAAGGTAAAAATCCTTTTTTTTTCTTCTCCCTCCTCATTTGATTTCCATTTCCTCGCAGCTCTAGGTAATTTCGTGACCTACCTCTTGGTAAGTCACCTATCTGCAGAATGCATATAGTGTGTGTGTGTGTGTGTGTGTGTGTGTGTGTGTGTGTGTGTGTGTGTCAGATATACAGTGAAAAAACACCACAATGCAAGTGTCATATCCTGTTCTTGGTGCAATTTTGCAACTATGTTCTGGACTGTAAGCAACTGCTTCATGTTAAACTAAAGCTCCAATCAGGCTTATGGCTCTTTTGTTTACATTATGAGTAGTTGTTCTTATAAGATGTTCGTTATCTAGGTAAAACTTGGGAACATGTATGGATGGACAATACTATATGGATTTGGTCATTTTATTGACTAATTATACAGCGTATGAACTTATAGAGTTTAGAGTTGTTTATCCTGTTCTAATGCTGGAGTTAAAAGTTTCATGTAGCTAATGCCATCATCTTTATAATAGAGCGGCAACATACTCCATAAGTTTTCACCCTACTCTAGGAAGCCATTTCATCAGTTTTTGGCTTCTGACACACTCGGAGCAACAAATTTTGTGCTGCTAATTGTACTGTCCTCTCTGTTCTCTCTCTTTGCACTTACTTGTGATTTTTGCTTATGTCCGTGTACAGATTTCATCTAGGAAATTTAGTCCTAGGGACTTTGATATACAATGATACACCAAAGCAAGCAAAGAAGCCAAAAGAAGTTAAATGTTTTTACCTGCTGCTGGCATCCGATGAGCAGTTGCAGGTGTCAACCATAGGTAATTCTTGTAAGATACTTTCACATTTCTCTAATTTACTTAAGTAAATCTTCATCAGTTTGGCTTTAGGTGAAAATGCCTGCTTGAGAATTTAGGGAAAATTACATATTAGTAATTGACCTCGTTTTTGCTTGTTTATTCTGTAGTATTGTTATATGAAGTGAGAGTTGCATGTGCTTATCTGAAGCTTATACTAATAATTTGCCTCCCTAATTGTGGCTGATCTGGAGCTCATACCCATGTTGGGTGAGTATCTCCCTCTCTGTTTGTTGGGCTGTCGGCAGCTCCTTTTTGCTGCGTCTCTGTATACTATAACCACTATCCCTAAAATAAGTAAACTATAACCATACTCTTTGATCATATTATTTAGAAGAAAAAAGATTAGAGCTGCATTTATTCATATTAATGTAGACTGGGCCTGATCCAAGAAATAGAAGACTTATACATTGATTGCATCCACCGATAAAATCCCAAATGTGTGTGGGCAAGACTATCTTCGTGTTTTCATAATATAAAAAATAGTAGGTAAGTGTCAATCTGTTGCTGGTTCAGAATTTGATAAGGTTGAAAACTTTGTATGAAAATCTTTGTAATTCTTTTGAGTTGTGGAAGAGACAGCTGGGATGACTTTGATAATATGCATTGGATGGCGGAGGACGAAAAATAAATAAGGTGGGGCGGCTCTGAAGCATAAAAAAATTCCAATGGAAAACGAAAGTAGTTCATGCACACTAAAATGCACACAAATACTTTTCAAAATCATGCTATTGTCCGGTCATTTTCTCAAAATGACACTAAAATTTGAATAATAATTACTTCTCTCCTTTTGTCTTCCATTTTCCCGTCCAGTACATTTTCCTCTTTTTAGTTCATCGGAAAAATTGACACACAGCGGCCGCTAAATTTTTTGAGAAGACGAACCATGGAGATTGGAGATGAAGAGCTGGTCGCCGCCCCTATGTACCTATTCTGATTGGAGTTCTTATTACAGTTACATGATCATGTGACAGCATGGCATCGGACAACACGGCCTTCACCTTAATGCACCCCAAAGGTGGTCATCGCCGAAGCACGCCAAGGGTGAGCCATAACCATACCGTTGACCCACCGGCGTGGTGAGGACAAATTGCATAGTATCATGTTTTTTCAGTTAAAACCTGAGAACAGAAAGACGTATCTAACACAGTATGTAAAATTTGTAAGCTCATATGAAAATAGCTGAGATCAAATTAGGTAAGCACGTTCTTGCAAGCGATGTATTTTCTCACTTACGAGAATTACCAGTTGCATATATAATATACTGTAGTAGCCTATATTCATGCACTCTCATTTTTGCTGAACAATTCATGATCAATACTGGATTTTTTTAAAGGAAGCCACTTCAACTTAGTTTGAGCTCTCATGTTGTCGAATTAATCAGCAAATATGTTATCTGTGGCTTTTATAAATTGACACAATGTTTCTGATTTCCAACATTACAAAATTATATGTTTCGTCCAGTCAGGTTTTTTACCCCATTATGTAATCGGCTCAGGTGACAATAGTATCTTCATTGTTCTTCTCATGACCATTTCCAAACTCAGGCTGGCTGATTTACATGAAATTAATTTCCTCAGTTGTGGTGGCAAATATAATACACATAATCCATATTGTTATGCACTAGCGTGTGTGTGTGAAATAGATAGATTATGGTCACGTACCCAATAAG